AGTTTAGAAACATAAATGATATATGGCTCCACGTGACAACCTTTGTAATCTCTGCATTAATTTGTATATTACTTTATTAAAGTTAATAAACATGGTTGAGCTTCTGTTCCAAAAATTTACATTATTTATAATTTAATTGATTATATATAATTATGTAAATAATATCAAATAATTCATAAATATAAATAATTTTTTTTGTAAGAATTTTTAATAAATGATTGATAAAATAGTTTTGATAAATAGTTTTAATAAATAGTTGATAAATTTTTAATAAATAGTTTTGATGAATAGTTAATTAATTATTAATAAATTATTAATGAATTTTTGATAAATTATTAATAAATTAATATCAAATTTTTATTGAATTGTCAATAAATAATATTGTAACAAACTTTTATTGATGTATTAATAAACTTTTGTTAAATAATTATTGAATTATTTAATGAATTATTAATGAATTTTTTAATAATTTATTATTAAACTTTTAATTAACAAATTTTTGATTGTTGAATTTTTTAATTGTCAAATTTTTTATTGTTACTTTATTGTCAAAATAATAATATACCAAGTAATAGCAATAAAAAAATTTGTCAATATTTTTATTATTAAATTTAATTAAATTTGATAATAATTCAATTACTGAATAACATAATTTTGACTAGTAATTATTGATAATTAAAAAGAATATTTCAAAAAAATTTATTTTCAAAAGTTCAAATTCCTTATTAAAGATATTTATAATATCAAAAAATTAAAAAATAGATATGATAGATTTTTAACCTTTATCTTTTTCCTAAGTTCCTGAGGCAATAACAAAACTTTAATGAACAAAAACTGATATTTAAATATTTTCCTTAAGATATTCCAATCCGGTGCTCACTTAAATGAAAGATTAGTTGAATTGACTTGTTTGAAATTACAGATCATAACAAAGAAGATTTCTTTTGAAGTTTCAGTGAAACAAAAAAACTATTTCAATTAAACAAATCCATTTTGAAAAAAGATTGTTTTTATTGTTTGACTTTTTGATAGATCTTGAATTGTTCCTTTTCCTATTTAATTATATCTCTTTTCCCTTTAATCTTAACAATTCATAATTTTCAGATCAATCAACAGTGATAAATTGTTGATAATAATTCTAGTAGATAGAGGGAAATCCAATTTAACTAGAGGAATATAATATTGTTCCCTAAATCAAACTTAGAGTACTTTTGTATGAAGACAAGTTAGCTGTATTATGAAAGTCTATAATGATATTAGATCTCAAATCAATTTCTAAATAAGGACATGCCATTATAGCATGATTGTGGATTAAAAAATAAATATCAATGATTTAAAAAATCAAAAGAAAAAAAGACCGAAAAGAAAAAATTGAAAAAAATGACCGATGGGATTCGATTGCATACATCACAATATTAATCTCGATTGAAAAAAAAATTTTTTTTAAAAAAGAGGCATAATATTAATCTAAATAATAAAATTAGTTTTGATTTTATGAATTTTAATAGATGGTTATTAAATGTTTTTAATAAATTTTCAATAAATGGTTATCGAGTATTTTCAACAAAAAAAAAAAAAAAAAAGCGATTTAAAATTGGACATTTTCTTGATGATTGTATATGGAGTTATATAGATTTAATTTATTTTTAATCAAGTTATTAAAATAACATTAATAAATTCTCAAATACGAATGTATTAAAACGCACGTATCCGGTATTATTAAATAATGATAATTCAATCTGATACACTAACCGTTTGTAAAGTTCATACAGTATGTACACCTCACGTTTTGTATTCGCAATTATTGACATAAGGAGACTTTTACTTCATTAGGGATTTCATCAGAATTAAATTGCACGCACGTATTTACAGAAACTACCCTCGTTTACATATTAATGACTCCTTTCGCACATTTTCGATACACCAAAAGATTCTTTTGCCCTATTCCTTCCCATCGTCTAAAATTTTCTTAAAAAGTGACCTTTATTTTAATATCAAGTGGGTATATGTATATAATTGATCATGCTTTTCCTCCGATCAGATTCCGCACTTTTTTTTTTTTTTTTTTACCGAGACCGCGGAATCAACCAATCAATAAATAGATAAATAGTCGATCAAACAAAGGAGTCGATCGAACCGAAAGTGAACAGTCGGCGAAAAAAAAAAAAAAAATGGACCAAGACTCAACATGAATGTCACTGTTACCACTCCGGGAGCCCATAAAATCCCTCAAGAAGCCTTGATCACCTGATAGACCTCGTATTCTTTTACTTTGAAGCTTTCGCCACTACTTCTAATTCCCTTCGAATAACTTTTCTTATTACAGCAATTTCCATTTCCATCGTCAAACTTTCCATACAGTTTTAGATCATACTTCCTAGCGCCGAAGCTAGGGCCAAAGTCGATGTGAGAATAGATAGCGTGTGTTTCGTCGACCACTCTGCTATAAATGGACTTGTCTAAATCCATTTTGTTCAATGAGAATATGAAACTATTCCTCGTCCTCTGATAGACCCCTTTGGATCGATCCAATACCCAATTCAAAGGATTGAATCCACCAATGATCTCATCTGTCTTCGAGACATTAATCAAGGTTAGCGTTGGACCTTTCAAGTCACATCTGTCGTGAAACGCTTTTGATGAAAATCCGTGATTTGAGCCTCGAATTAAAAGACGGAAATTATAATTAGTGGCCTTACTTAACATCATCGTTTCGTTAATCCATTGGGTAATCAACTTGGCATAATCATTAGTCAGTATTCCATTGCTGGTGGAAATATGTGGAAGTGGCTGTGGTTGCAACTGTGGCTGTGAAATAAATTGTGATAGCGATTGTTGCTGTAGTGGTTTGAGTTGAAATGGTGAAGCGGGGGAAGAATCTGTGGGAGTACCCGTGGAACTGCTACTAGACGAAGCAGCTACACCTAATGAATCCGAGAGTTCCGGGAAGGTGTGATATTCCAAGATCTCAATGTAGAAACCATCATCAAATAGTTTCTTGAACGGCCTTACTTTCTGGAGAAATTCGCTACGAGAAACCCTTTGGAAATCGATGCATTGAATAAATGGATCCATCAATTCCCTAAGAGATTCGAAATCATCATTGGTCCACGTAGCGATATTTGTCGTCAAAGAGGGGAACTGAGAAACTCCCCACTCGACAAGCTTCTCCCACAAAACTATTTCCCTTATGTTGTTCGGATGATTCTTATAAAATGAAAGTAACTCATTCTTTCTAATCGTAAAAAAATCCTGAGAATTAATAAAAGCCTCAGGATCCTCTTTGAGGATATTGTTGCAAAATGACGACAACTTTTCGAAATGATTGTAGGAAGCTCTGGCTACAAAAAAGAAATGCTTTTTAACAAGTTCTTTTCGGTTAATGAAGTAATCCTGAATATAGTCACATAGCTCAGTGAGACATAATTCGCGGGCTCCACACAAAAGATAAATAATTTCTGGTACATTATATTGAGAAAGCTCGATGGTTCCAAAGTATATGTACCTGGTGTTAAGTTAATTACGCGTCAGGCAAGAAAATGTCGAGAAAGAAAGAAGTTCGTTACCAACGAGCTTACATGAGAAGCACGCTAAACAATTTCGGCGTGATATTTGGTTCGTTAAACGAAACTACGTTTGAAGAACCCGTAGCCAGCTTTGTGCGAAAGTAAGAAGATCGAGCTTTCAAAACGAGCGAATGAGCTTTAAACCATGCCTTGGCATGCGGTTCGTCGCCAACCTGAACAACAATATCCGCAAAGTCACCAGTTTCCAAAAGAGTCTTATAATCTTTGGATAAGGTTTCCAATAGATTAATGGTCATTTTGGATAGACGTGTGGTGTGGTGGCTTGATAAATTGTCGAGTGGAAGAACAATAAGAATTTCGTGGGAAACCTGTGTTTATTTAAAACATAATGCAAGTGCATACGTCATTGGAAAAAAAACTCCGAGGAGCGATGTACTTCTAGAACCTTCTTAGCCCATCCGTGTTACACCATTCCGAGCGTGGAAATAATGATTGTTGCAGACACATTTACATTTATTAAACAATCTCATGAGGAAGGATATGTGAAAAAAAAAATTACAGGAGTTTTTGTATTGCATAAGCCTATGTAGGAAGATTAAGGTGTAAAAAAAAAGAAAGTAAGGGCAACGAACTGAAAAAAAAAATAAGGCGGTTATGATTTATGGTGCGCGTATTATGATTAAAGAATTAGAAGAAATTTCTATACAAATTTGTTTCCGTGAATGAAAAATAAAAATATTGATTTTTTTACACAATGTGAACTTGTAAGAAGAAGAGGAAGAAAAAAGAAGAAAAAGACAAACGCGAAGTTTTAGATACAACGAAAGAAATAGATACAATAAGAAACAAAGAATCTGGAATTTTTTTAAATGATTGGTGTAAGATGTAATCAAACGAAATGGAAGATTCTCACGATCGACGGAAAAACGATCAAGATAAAAACAATATATCCCTCCCAAAAGATCTTCTTTTCATCCTTTGTATAAATAAATACATTATATATAATAAATAACCAAGATCAATTGTCCCGATATCAAAACGAGGTCACAAAATCCAACATTAAAATAGATGTCATGATGGTAATTTGGCTTTCTCGGGTATGGCGATGACCAGCTCCGGAATGTAATGATGATTTGTTTCGTCAACGTCTCTCAACGGATGGCTCTCGTCATCATCATATTCCCCGTTGTGCGTCATATTCATTACATTGTCTTGTTCGTGTTTGTTGTCGTCGTGGTTCTCCACATTGTAACCACGCCTGCAGCCGTTGTGCATTTCCAAATTCTTGGCGATATCGTGTCTCCCCTTCTCGCTCCTCCGAGAAAGGGAGCTCACCACATTCAAATCATTATTTATGATGGCATCTTCTGTAGGTCTTCGCCTATCATTTGCGAAGGTATTTTCTAGAGGAGTCCAATTCTCGTGATCGAAGCTATTAACTTCAATGGTGGTGGTGGTGGTGGTAACGGTGATCAATGGATGCTGATAACATGAGGATGTTGGCGAAGGTTTCTTGAGCAGTCGTCGATATCGTGGGTCCAGTGATATCACCGTCACGTTCGTGTTAGGCGAGGAGGAACAATGATATCTGATGTCCGAAGACACATAGGTCTTGTAGACGGGCGGTGGTAAGGAACATGATGAAGCGGACGGACTTACTCGGTTATCGGAATTTGATCGGTATGACGATGGATTGACTATGTCAAAATCAACGGAGGTTCGTCTCTCGCCCATGCTGTTTCATCAAAGGAAACGAATGTGAATGTTTGTCGCACGAAAGAATGAGAGGAAAGGTAATATTGACGGTACACACACACACCCGCAGCATAGAAATCCAAAAATTCTTGACCACAGTTCTCGATATTGTTTATTAGCAAATTCACCCGTACCGAAACACGCCAGAAACAATGCCATATTCAAACACATTAGTAACGCATTCAAGTTTCTCGACAGATATCCACTGGAAGCCGGGAAATGATTTAATTCGTAATTCTGATTTTCGTCGATAAGGTAGCAAATATAGTAGTACATCTTCATGGTCGCCAGGGGACTGCACAGGATCACGAGTAGACTGCACCAGAGACCTATGCGGACGAGTGCATTCCGAGGAATCACAGGTTTTGAATTTGAGGTTCCCGTGGGATTGGGCGGAGGGCCGGCTCGGGTTGGTAGGGGGGTTCGCGCTGGCGGTTTTTCGGACTTTTGCCTTATTATGGACATCGGAATTGTCAAGCTTTCACGCACGCGAGTAGAGCGAAAGATCTTTTTGGCAACGGGAAACAATGTCAATACTGATTATTTTTATTATGAAGAAGAAATTCTTGGGAGTTAGCCACGCGAAAGATCGGTAAGAAATCCTCGGAATGCGCGATAAAGTACCTGATAAAATGCAAGAAGGATAAATCGGCAAATATTCCGGAAGAATTCTCAGAATGAACAGAGCTATCTTGTTTGATCCATGCGACGCAACATTACATATTCCGCCAGTGTCGATGGTCTCAAATATCATATCATGGTTAGACGTTAGAACCATGATGCTCAAAGTGACGCTGATTATTGGTATAAAAAACGTCAGGGAGACATTTATCACTTTTATCCACCTGTTTTGTCGGGCTGCGGGGTTGGTCAGTCTTAACGAGGTGAAAAACTCGATGGAAAGAGCCAAAGCTACCCCGTAATTTGAGATGGAGGACAGGGTGAGCAGAAGGCCGCTAATACCGCAACAAATGTATTCCGAGGTTGTCGTGTCGTTATTAAGTTCGAAGCCGTTCTGTAGGGTAAGTCCGGCGATGACATAGGATAGAGCGATCAGGAAATTTGAGATGCTATACCAGGCTAGAATTGGACCGCGTCGTTTCCTCTGAACGTAAATATTCTGAAGGCATAGAATGCAAATTATTATGCTCATAAAGAGTATCCAAGACTCCATTTATTTATTTCAATGCGCGTGTATGGTTTGTTTAGTACCTCGATGTTTTTGATGGTGAACTTTTTCGGTGTGGTAATGGTGGGATCAGTCAGACAAGTAAAAGAAAAAAAGTTGACGGGAAAGTCGGGACGGAATGGGCGGGAGGGGGGTGAATGGATGAACGAATAAATTTAAATCAAGGCCGTCTTATACTTTTTAGTTGGGGCTCGTCTATTTTCTTTAAAATGGTTTACACGCGTGCTCTCCCTTCGGTAAGGCGTGTCCGTAACTAAGGAAAGAAGGAAGGCTAATTCGAAATTCAGATTCTAATGCTTAGAATGAGGTACACTATTGTACTGAAGTTTGCGGGCGGATTACAAGAAAAAAAAATTAATAATAATAAAATAAAAAAGAAGTTTTTTGAAATTTTTGATAAGGCAATCGGAACATTAAATGAAATTTTTAATACGCCGTCTGAGTATCACCTAATTGCTTGATGATAAAGCTATTGTGGAATTTTACTAAAATTGATCACGTCTGTGGTGAGCGTAAACAAACATTATCATGTGGCATCAAAAAAAGAATGAAGGGTGTACGTAAATGTCAGACTTAATTACAAGACATTAGATGAATTGATGAAAAGAAATTTTCAGAGGGAACGAGAAATTGGTTTGAAGCAGGCATGTTTATAATGTTGCTTGTGGTTCTACCAGCACATTTTTATTGACATTACACCAGCACTCATCCATCAAACCGTTATCCTCTGTTTCACTTGGCAGGGTCTATATTAAAGTTGATAATTAATCATGCATAATTTTATGCATTCTACAGTAAAAAAAGGGTGCACAATACATTTGTGATATGAACGCATCCCCGTGATTAGGAATTCGGTGTTTTTCCGAGCGGTCCACAAATCGGGCCTAAACATTTTCGAGCCAATTAGGCAAAATATTCGTGACTTTTCCGGGCCGATTGGTGTGTCTGCCCGTGATTTCCGTTCCCATTAAAACTCGCAAGAAAATTTTTCTGATCAAGACTCATGCAATTTTACAATTAAGGCAGGGTATAAATAATAATAATAATAATAATAATAATAATAATAATGCGGGTTATAAAAAATATATATATATATATATATATATATCTTTAATAATTTTATTCAGTTTATTAACTTTCCATTACAGATAATGTGTCTTCCACAATGTAATAATGGAATACATGTGGCTTATATTATTTTATGAAAAAAAAAAAAAAAAATCAATTCTATTGCATTAAACTTCTTTACTGGATGCCTGATGGTTAAAATTTTAACTTTATCAAGTTTAACTATTTCGTCTAGTCTAAAATTAGGAACTTTCGGATTTAACGCAATTCAATATTTTTTAATTCACTTCGGATTCCGCATAATTAATTATACCCAAGCTTTATAAATAACTGCATGTGTATTTTTATTTTTATTTTTATTTTTATTTTTTTTCTGCCTTAATAAGGTATGGTCGAATCCTCGGCACATCTCCCAGACGAACCTGAACTATCTTTATTTATATCAATCCTATATTTTTTTATTTGTAAAATAACAGGTTTTGACCAATTTGGATGTTGGTTATCTCTACGTGTTTTCAATCCAATTTCGTTAAAATCTATTCGTCTTGACCTGATTTGATTTATCAATGTAAATTAAAATTAATTCATTAATTTTAAATTAAAGTTTATTTATTCTAATAATGCCCCGATAAATTTTATTTATCGTGACCATATAAACAGGATGTATTGCGTGGATCACACATTGAACATCTTTCTTTGTAAGTTAAATCCTTGAGCAACCTCGTATTCGTGTAAACTTTCATTTTAACGTGGTTCCAAGAACGACCTCGTTCGAGATCAATGTGTGTATTGTTGTGTTCCAGTACTGTAAATGTGTTAAACGTAAATTTGAATATTGTAGATCTTTGTTTATAAAATATATTACGCGCGATTACTGTTATCAAAACGAATTAACCGTTTTTTACCAAAGAAAAAAAAAAAAAAATGAAAAGAAATGTTTTCGAATCATGTTAATTGAGAGATTCCTTGGTGGAATTTCCAGAGATGTAGGTTAGCGTCGTCGAATGTGATGTCTGACCGAAGAATGGTTCGGAGATGTCACATTGCAGATCGGTCTTTCCTCATTCAACTGACAATAGAGGAAATGAGGCGTGCGAGGTTCTTGCCCTTAAATTTAGCAAGCATGTACTGTATGTATGAATTATTCTTTGAAGCCAACAGAGATGCTGTTTGAATTTTCAGGCTCATAACCAGAAAAATAAATATTAAATCTCGGGAGTCATATATCCCATGTTCGTCTTCGAACTAGTCTAATATGATAAACGGATGCATGACAATTAAATCTATATTATGTACAGTATTATATTGCGTGCACATTACGATTTTCGTGTTTGTTTATTGCGCTATTCCTATCGGGTCCGCGAACATCACCGTGTGTAATATTATTTCTTATCAACGGTTTAAAGTTCCTTGGTTGATATAAACACATTGCGTTAAGATGTTTTCGATAAAGGCATTTACTTCCCTTCAGCTCATTCAGATCTATCCTTCATCTTATCTGCGCAATGGAATTATCTTTTGCACAAATATTCCCATAAATGTTCTTTGAAATGCGGAATATTTGGTAATCTCCAACTGTCTTATTTTTATGGTAATGTTTGCTTATCTTATCTCTTGCACTGGGACATTTCACACTGTGACACAAATTTTACTTATGATTTATTATTTCATCCGATTTGATAATGTTGTGTACGAGTGTCACGCCGTTATCTTATCTGGAACGACCTTATTTGTTCTAATGAAAAAGGGGATGGATGATCAAGATGTGCGAGCGATGAAATGCTCCAGGAAGATCGATTCGTATACTTGTACGTACATCGAAGGTCTCGATATCGAAACAGATGGTGGAAACACGTGATCGACCGGTAAACGTAACGATGCGGTAAAAATCCCAACAAACACACTGTGCGTACATGCGTACAGTACGCAATACGCATATGGCATATCCTGGTTTTATGTGGTTCAAGATTGAACTTTCTTTTCAATCAATATACTATAATTCCCTTAAGGAGCAAATTGGTATTTTATTTCGTTTTTTGCTTCATGTTCCGCAATTTCCGCAAAAAAACACTATCAGCTTGCACAGTCCGCCCCGCTTATCTCACTTATTCTTCATCTAAAGTTTTGTTCATACCAAGACACCGAAAATACCCGAATAACCCATCTTTTCATGCCAAAGAAACCCTCTGACACTTTTGAAGAGTCTAAAATTTTATCCGGGATCATAACCTTGATCAATCACTGAATACTTCGTTTGCACGTTTTCTAAATTTTCCCTTTTTTCCTTGGTTATGGTATGTCTGATGTTGTGTCTCGTCTCGCGTCAGATATCTTTTTCACCTATCCCAGTGCGTACACGTAATCCACTATGCGTCAAATAAAAGATTAACACGTAATTTGCATCCGCCACATCAATGGTGATTTGAATGTGGAAACTCAGGAGTGTACTTTCCTTCGCCGCCGTTGTGCCTGGTATGGCTCAGAAAGGACATATGATACCAAGTCAACTCCATAAAACCAATCACCTTGAAAGGACCGGTCATATTGAAAGGCAAGAGGTATCACCGACATCTTATTCCCCGTGATTTTGCGATATTTATTCGATTGCTCACCTTGAATCTCAATCAACCAAGGCAAAGGTCCCCGCCGAAATAATCTCAGTAAAGAATGCCACCCCGACCGTAAAAACCTTCTTGTTCCGTCCTCCGTCCTCGTCCGTCACCTTGTTTCACTTTCTTCCCGGGCAATGGCTCGACGTGTTCATCCCTTCCGTGCCTGTGGTTGGTGGATTCTCCATAACCTCCACCCCACTACAATACTCTCGTACAAACACATTTGAATTGGCCATAAAGTATTCAACTCATCCACCCGCAAAATGGTTTCACGAGATGGCAAAGACTGGCGATCTCGTGGAGGTCAGGGTCGGCGGAGATTTTGTATGGAACGAAGAGAAAGAGCATGAGGAAGGGACAAAGAGGGTCGTGTTCATCGCTGGTGGTGTTGGGATAAATCCTTTGATTAGTATGGTAGGTGCTATTTTGGAAAGTTCGGGGGTGGATCAAAGAGGTGATGACGATTTCATCGATCGAGAAAAAATCCGGAAAGACGATGATCTCGAAAATCATCTAACGAAAATTAGATTGCTATATAGTGCTAGAACCTTTGATGAATTGTTGTTTTATGAACGAATAGAAAAAATGCGAAACGAGTGGTCAGATTTACTAGAGTGCAAATATTTCTTGACAAGAGATGATCCACCCCATTCATTGGCTACAAATTTCGGGAAAGAATTTTATTATCGGCAAAGGATAAATCGGGAGGTTTTGAACGAGTTAGTTGAGAAGGAACGGCCGAATATGGACAGATTAAAATGCTTCGTGTGCGGACCTCCCCAGATGCAGGACGATCTCATCAAATATTTGAGAGAGGCTGGCATGGATGAGAAGAAGATTTTGTTTGAAAAGTGGTGGTAATATTATATCGTTCGTGTACCCTTAATAAAATCTGATCAAGATAAATTTATTGATTCACTCGAGATTGTGCTCGACGAGATGGTTAATGGTAGCGGTGTTCATGTAATATACTAAAGCACGAAAATATTGTAAGATTGAACGGCGCGGGATAAATCAATCATGCCCTATCGCCATAGTAAAGCCCCATAACCCAGAAGTACGAGATATCCACCAAGAAACTACTGATCAAACTCCCGTGCTGTTTCTTAGTCCACTCAAATCTCAGCTCGAACCTCTCCTCCGCGTCAAATAATGTCTCTAACATTCTCCACACAGAATCCGTACACATTCCAGCTTTATCACTTCCCCACCCCCAAGGTTTGTTTCCACCGGAAGCCACGTAAAAATCGCGAACCTTGACTCCGTCTAATGGTTTGTAAAATTTGGTGACGCGATATTTCCTTTCGAGTTCGGGAGTAAAAAGGTCTATCACCGTGCCACACATCGGACCGCTGTGTACCAAGAGTCTCGTGTTCGAGCTGGTGATCAAGAGCATACCCACGTGCTCGAAAGAAAATCCGGATTTGAAGTGGGAATTATGAATAGCAACCGCGGCGGATGTTGCAAATTCGTTGAGAAGAAGCGATTCTTGAGTGGGTGTGATTACGATGTTGTGAAAGATTTTGGAAATATACTCGGTGGTTGTCATGAAATTGTGAAAATGCCTGTTCAAACTTGGCTCGCGACAATAAAAATCTTCAACTTTTTTAATAATACCGTAAAGTCATGCATGAGACACGTTGTATGCAAAAAGTCTCAACACTTTTTCTTATGTAATATATTGATTAGCTAAGAAATTTCCTTGCTTCTCAAAGCCACATAACTCATGAATTCACATGCCGAGGTTTCTTATCTGCACCTTTGGCCATTGCAGAGAGAGTAACTATAAATTTTTATTATATGGATGTGAATTTTCTAAGAAAAAATAAAATTTTTTTAGTAAAACATGTCCATTTTGTAAATTAATTATCAATTCCTTAACGGATATTACAATAAATTTAAAGGTATGCTAACGGAATTAGTATTTTAAATTAAATCAATAATCTACAGTATATAACTAATTTAATAAATAAGTTTTTGATTTAAGTATTATAAATTTTCAATAGCAAAAAATATATACAGTGAACCCTTCCATATATGCATGCTATGTTCTATTCCCAAGCTTGGGAATTAGCATTACAGTATATACGCACCCTTTATATTTTACATTGAATGATTATATAAGTTCTCCCTCTTTATATGCACGCATATAATTTTTTTTTTTTAGTGTCTTATTATAGTTGTAAAAATTCTTTGTAATTAATTTATAATAATTCATTTAATGAAAATAAGATACAGTATTACATCTAAAAATTATATAACAACCTTTAAAATGGACTTACTTATAAAACTATAGATATTTTAATTAAACAAATATCTTTTCTTAAAGATTAAAAAAATATTATCAATTAAAATTTTGAGATAATAAAAAGTTTAGATCTCTGATTATAAAATACTGATAATATTGAAAAATATAATAGGTTATATGATAATTGTGAAAACTCTTTATAATTAGTTTACAATAATCTTCAAAATAATCTTAAGAAACTATAGATATTTTAATTAGACAAATATTTTTTTTCAAACTCTAAAAAGATATTGTTAACTAAAATTTCAAGATAATCAAAGATTTAAACCTTTGATCATAAAATACTAATAATGTGGAAAATATATAATACAACTTTAAAGTCACATAATAATTATAAAAATTCTTTATAGACCTATGGATCCATAATGCAGTGGTTAGCACTCCGTAGGTCAGATCACAAGATCCGGTTTCAATTCCACCCAAAAACATAACAGATTGAAGAATTGAATCCATCCATTGATGTAACCGTAAACTAACTGATGTTTCTAAATATAACATCCGGTCTATATCTAGATTGTGATCAGGTTGTGATTCAAATCGGATAGGATCATCATTGATACAACTGTGTTACCAGAAATGGTAGCAAGAAGAGTAGATCCCCAAACTGATAGCATGCCTTTTAGGATCAAAACAAGAAAATAACTCGTCCGGGGATACAAATGGCTTTATACAAAAACTCGTGCGTAAGAAAAGGACTCTTTTAATCTAAGCCAGTCCCGGTCCTCATGCATGTGTCTATGCCGGGTTTCACAGAATTGACTATCGGGAGGCCTTTGTGGGAGAAGAAATCCATGGACCACTCTGAAGAATCAAAAACTGGGATCCAGGATATTGAATTCAACAGCTTGATAACTAGAATACTCTTAATAAAAAATTGTTCTAGGAATAATTAAGATGGAATCCTGCAGGCTTCCAGTTTGTGGTTGGGCTGGTAGTGGTGATACATAGCATTAATTAAATATATATATAGCTATCCATATAGATATGATTTACTATAACATATATGTAAAACTACTCATTTGTAATAATATAACAGTTTCGATTAATAAAATTACAATTAAGCCTGTAGCCAAAACTTCAGGACACCACAGAGGATAGAAAAGATAGACAGTACAATCGAAGAATTCATATCCAAGGCAACATATTATCAATATAGACAGCTACTCAGAAAACATGATCTGATATTCATAGGACAGATCCTTAACTTGACAGAAACACGGACACTACACTGGTACGAAGTAGGCGCAATCAATCAAACAAGGAAAAGAGAAATCCCAAAATGGTACACCAGCCTCATAGGAAACCTCACAGCCATAGCACATTTACAAGACAGGACAACAAAAACCACCGACAACTACAGAACCTTCAATCAAGGCAAATCTTTGGTCCAAATAGATACACATAAACCACATTGAAGTGCCACACTCAAACACCAGGCAGAAATCATAGGTAGAAAAAAATGAAACATCAGTCCCAACTCAGTCACTTACACACACTATATAAGAACCACAGAGGCATCCCTATTAGAGAAATGCAGGAGTTGCACAATAAGAGAAAGAGACGCATCACTGAAATTCTGCACATACTTAGCAAGAAAGCAACACACCATTCAGATCCCAGTGGAAAGATCAAACATATCATCCAGGAGAAACATAAAGGGCCTGGCAACCGAACTAAGATGCAGAATATCCCCGGGATCCATAACAAAGGAACTAAGAGACCTAACAGGAACCCCACAAGAAGATGACTCATATCCCAAGCTACAGATAAACATGGGAAAACCAGACCTAATGGACATTAACAAAATACTCAGCCTAGGAGATTCAAAGCTAGAAGAACTAAGAGCCATACAGCATCAGCTCAAAGACCATAGACAGGTAACAATGTACACGGATGACTCAGTATATGATCATAGCAGCAGATCACATATGGGCTTTGGCTGAATCATCAAGGACAAAGAAGGGAGAGAACACACCTTCCAGGGACAGACTCAACTATACACATCATTTACAAGGGCAGAGCTCATGGCCATAGTAACAGCAATTAACACTTTGGGCAGGGGTACTACAGTCCAGCTTTACATGGACAGCCTCAACATGATAATTGACCTAGCAGAAACGTTAGACAGCCACCGGTCAAGAAAGAAACAATACCATAACCAAACAATTCTAGACACATACTGCTACATAAAAATGCACCAGGGCCTAACCATAATATTCTACAAGGTCAAAGTACACACAGGCATTCTTCTCAACGAAAAAGCAAACAAACTATCCAAAATCGACCTCACATCATAAGACATGAAACCCAACAGAAAGATCGTTAACATCAGGGAACATCACCAGGGATTACCACTGATTAGTATCCAAACACTAACAGACATATCAGGGAAGAATATGGTAAAACAAATCAACAGAGCCATAAGACTTACTAGATGGAGGTTACTCAACAGAACCCAGAACAGCTTCACAGAGGAGGACCTCAGGGATATACATTGGCAACATACCTTTGACAACCTACACCCTTCCAATATAGAAGAACAGATAACCTCAAACAAGGACCACCACTTAAGAAAGTTCAGCTTCAATCTCTGGTACAAAGAACTACCAATCAGGAGCAAACTGCATAGTAGATATTCTTCAACCTACAGGGACAGCAAATGCCACAACTGCAAAGAAACAGAAGATACCACTTATCTCTTCATATGCAGTAACCAGAAAGACACTCTAAGGAAAAACTTTTACAGAATCCTAATAAAACACATATCGACACATATTTGCAAAGAACACAAGAAAATTTTAAGAACACCATACAACAATGCATCCATCTGAAGATACCTAGAACCCTCAAGCTACTCATTAGGGGAGCAGTCATAAAAGAAATTCCAGGAACACTCAATAGGCTGATAGCCAGCAACAAGGCAATCACAACGTTGATTATCAACACAATAAGAGAATGAAAAGAACTCCTACATGACATATGGAAAGTCCACTGCAAAAAAACTTACACACAAGCCCCAAGCCCACCAACAAATAAGATAGTAAAACAAACTAAACAAACACAAGACAAGTAACAACAGACCCAAGACAACCCAACCAGTCAAATAACAAAGGATCAGAACAAAAGTTTGGTCAGGATAGTTAACAGCTATATAAACGAATATATAAAGTACAACACTAACATTTTCACACTATTATCATATCACCCAACAACTAGCATGGCCTTGGCATATTAGTTTTCTTTCTCCTGAGGAAAGGGCAACAAGTCACGAGGTAGTTCATAGCTTATCGAGTTTGTTATTACTGAAACCACATCCCTGTACCTTAGCATTAGTTATACTGTATAAATGTAATTGAAAAACAATAATAAAACAAGGCTGAGCCAGTTTGACTCTTTCTGCTGATCCCTTGACCACACACAAAAAAGATGTTTGCAAGAAATTTTTTATTTCTTTGCTAATAAAGTCTTAACACTATCCTTAAAACAACTTGAAGTTTTACTTCAAGAAACACTTCTTAACCTTTTTCCTTGTTTATATTCATTTTCAAGCAAAAACTTAACTTCCTGTAACCTAGAAAAACCATGAAACACCTTCTCTATCAATGGCAAGAAAGTTCTGCAAGGAAGAAAAACTTATGTGTAGTACTTGAAGCCTTTCATATTGAGGCATGTCTATAGAGGTTTCTAGCAGTAGGAGGTGACTAACATCAAGCCATATTTTAAGGTGTCTGCCCACTGTTGCTTCTCTCTTATAGTCACCCCAAAATTTTTTTTTGACTTTCTGGGGAATTTTAGGTGACACAACCTATTGCAAAATATGATTGGTTGATATGAAACACGTCAGTAGCTAAATGTAAACAAGCTCCTACTGGTCACCTCAAGTGTTTTGATGATGTCATTGGTGAAAGAAAGAGTATCAATTGATGTGTATCCTCCACTCTTCCAAATGAAGTGTAACTGAAGCAAAGAAATCATGAGACCATTAGGACGGGCACTAAATTCTCTAGGTGGTGAAAAGGCAGTTATTTGTTCAAGTCGAGGTCTTCAACTTCTTATCATCCTGGTCAGACAAAGTATGCGAAGAAGGT